TTGTAATCATGATTACAAGTAATTGATTACTGTAATCGACTATGTAATCATGATTACAGCTGTAATCAAACTTTGTAATCACGATTACAAGTAATTGATTACTGTAATCAATATTGTAATCATAATTACAGCTGTAATCAAAATTTTTGAAAATTGTAATCATGATTACAAGTAATTGATTACATTTTTGGCCTACTCTGCAACTTACGGTTTAACTCTATCTTGCAATTAAGTTATGTTTAATTTTATATTATGTGCCTTATGCAAAATTCTGCCTAATTAATACATGAAATAAAAATAATAACTACTTAAAATTGCAAAACAATATAAGAAGTTAATTTCCCAGCACTACTGTTACATATATTATCTTTTGGAGAAAGAAAGAAATTTAAAAAGTTTTTTTCTTCTACCAAAAATTAAATAATTAAAAAACAAAACATTATGAATTAAGTTGCAAGCATAACCGAGAGTAATGATTAGATATAAATTTTATTAAAATAGAACTTGATATTAAATCTCTGCTAATACAATAAAATTTCATAGGCTCTTTTAATTGTATAATTTATTACTTATGTGGTGGTTGGTTGTGTCCAGGAGATGAATAGACGTAGTTTACATTTTAATTAGTATTTATTTTAATATTTAATTATAACGAACACAAGGGAAAACATGAAAGTTAGAGCAGTGCGTCTACAATGGCGGTTAGGCTTTTTCTTCGCGCGGAATGACAGAGACAGTTACTGATCGTAACTGTTGCGGTTACGATTAAGTTAAGTTCAGTCGCCGCACTTATCTGCTAATTGTCAAGTAACAAAAATTATTGTAAAGCAATCATAATGGCTATGAGCAAAGCCTTCAAGGCTATGCCTAGTTTTACTATATAATACAAATCTAAGTTGGTTTTAAAATATGATCCCCAGTTATTTTTTGAAAGAAAAATTTGTACCAGTCTCCTCTAGGCCCAATGATACGTTAGACACTTCAATACTGGAATCTAGGTATTTACAACTTAGTACAATCAACAGCAATTTATAAATGTAAAGAAACAAAATAAAAGAACACACTTTAATACATATCACAAACATACAATATTCCACTACATGGAAACGGTTTTAGCAGTTGAGTATTACAAAAGACAATCTTTAAACATAAATAACCAAAATAAAAAAAATGACATAACTTTGATATTTACATGAATATACAATAATATTTCAATCCAAAAAATTGCATCAGCTTGAAATGAAAACAAATATGAATTTCATATTTTAAAATTCGCAAGTTTCTGAACTTGAAGATTAATCCTGCAAAAAAAAAAATTTTTTAATTAATGATAATAATTAAAAAAGTGTAAACAGCAATAAACATTCTAAGTTCTTAAATGATATTGAAATTTGGTTGTTTTATCATTAAAAAGATCTTTTAGTAACTAATTAATAATAAAAACTATATAAAATAAAGAAATAATATAAAAAGTATGAATTTTTATTCGTAACCTTTTTTAACTTGAACTCTTAAAATATTTTTAACTAGCCTGAAATTGCATAATGGCAACTATTGTTCTGTCGATATTCCATTTCTGCATCGTTATAAAGGTACCTAAATGTCACTCTTATCGCATTGAACGATCATCATTTATCAAAAGACATCAACAAAAAAAACAAGAAATGATCATTAAAGTATAAAATTGAAAGAAATTTAACATAGTACCCAGTTGTTTCTTGAAATAACTGATAGAATCAGTTTAAGTAAAAAATTCATTTTTATTTTATGTTTAACTTACACATATTTTAATAGAAAATAACCCAGAACTTTTTCGAAAATGTCTTAAGATTAAACTAAATAAAGGCACCCACCTTAATTATAAATAGATCTAGCAGACATTTGAATGCTGAAACATAAACCAGAAATAAGATTGTACGCAAGGGAGGATCATTTTATCTCATTTTTAAATAGTATTTTTTATGTAATACGAAATGTTTTTCTTGTATTTATGTTTGCAATGTTTCTCAGCTTTATTGTAAGAATTCTTCAAATTTAGTACATAACAAAAAATCAAACCTGCAAACATTAAAGCTTCCGATAAAATAAGCTCAGGGTGCATAGCCAAATCTTTCAACAAAAAATAAGTACCTTTTAAGTACTTTTTAAGCACTCAAAATATACATTAACAAAATGCAAAATAATTTTCAAAGACTTTAGATGATCATGATAAATTAACTAATTACAGACAAAGAACTCTTTTCTGGATTATATTAGCCACCATAAAAAGATAGGGAGATTTTTCGGTACGATATCAGAGGGCGGAAAATGAAGTCTGAAATTGAGAATATCTTGCAAAATGCAGCAGAGTTGCACATGAAAAGGCAATAATCTCACAGAACCCAGCTCAGTAGACACACACACTGACTCGCAAGTATTTCATCAAACATGTAAAATGATTGGCGCTTTCATACGCTATGGACCGACGGTACGCCGAAATGAATTGTGAAAATGTTGAATAGAACAATGCGAAAAGCAGGCTCTTGAATAATGCATGGCGAAAATCGACATGGTAACGAAAAAAATAAATCCCTTTTTTGTAAAGGGAAAATTAAGCACTTTTTAAAAACACCCAATGAAAAAAGCACCTTAAAGGGCTTTTAAATAACGAAAATCAAAAATAAGCATCTTTAAAAAACGCTATGCACCATGAAGCTAAATTAATATTTTATAATTAGAAATTGATATTTCAAGGTAATACATTGCTTTGAAAAAATTTTTTAAAATATTTTACAAAATTTGAAGTTAGAGAGCACTTTTGTTGAAGGAGCCAACAACGGCCTAGACCAGAAGTAATTGTAGAATGAGCAAGGAAAAAATTAAAAGTCAAAATAAAATACATGGCAATAAAACATAAAAGTTACTTTAATTCTTTAACTTGCCAACTTATTATTTTTATAAAGGCAAAAATATTTTTTCTAAATTCTCTGTTGCCAAAATCTAAATTAGGGAATATTTTAGGTAACATTGGAATGTCACAATAATACTATGATCACATTAAACCGAACTTATTTTCTGAACAAAAAATGTTTTCCTCACCCTAGCATCAAATTTTTTAATAAATCTTAAAAGAAAAAATTCAACATCGTTAAATATTGAAAAATGTACAGTTAACATTTTATAAAATCATGGCCTGTATGCTTTTAAAGTTAAAACAAATATATTAATACATACTAACGTAGATAAAAGACAACCAGTGCACTTGATGTGACGGAATGAAATTTATTTAATTCATGAAAAATTGAGAATTTTACTATGTACACCATAAGAATTGTGTCAGAGGTCATTCATGTATAAAGTAAGTATCTAAGGTTTAATGTTTTGCTTAAATTCCTTGATAAGAAGTAAATTAATTTTATCCTCTTTGAATTGTTTATATATAGTGGAGGTAAAAATAATTCTAAATCAAATTTATCAAGTAGAAAATAAAATGCCTAAGTATGGTTTTTCCTCAACTTTATATCTATGAGAAAAATCTTCCCCTTTTTGCAACAGATTTGGCTAATTAAGTCATTTTATTGAATAATTAGGTAAAGCACAAGAAATTATTTTATTTGAACTTAACCTAACTTAATCAGTAACAAGACACTTTTTTCTATTCAATAATTCTAATATTCATTTAAATAATTTCCAACATAACTAATCGTGAATTGAAAAAATTAGGGGACAATAAAATTAATGGTCATATTGAAAAAAAATAATAACAGGAAATCGTTAATCTTTGCAAATTAAAAACAAGAATAAAGTGAATTGAAAAAATTAGGGGACAATAAAATTAATGGTCATATTGAAAAAAAAAATAACAGGAAATCGTTAATCTTTGCAAATTAAAAACAAGACTTTCCTGAAAAAAATCTTTAAATAAAATTAATAATACTTTTCAAAAAAGAAACATACTAAAGCCTTAATTAAAACCAATTTAGTTAAATTAGCAATTTTTTCTTATTGAACAATGCATGTCAAAACCTTTTGATGTTACGTTCATAGATTCTTTTTTCTTTTTTACACATTTTTACAAATTACATATTTTGTTCAGAGAAAATTCTATTCAGTGAGCTTTTACTGATGTATTTGTAATTAATACATATTCTCTTTTGCTTCTCATATGATTATTTTATTATTTGACATAAAAAAGAAGAAAAAAAAATTTTTTTGTTGAAAGTTTACAAAAAAAAGTATTTGTCTCCAGATATTAGAAACAGTAAACTGCTAATTATCTATAAAATTGAAATGTTTTACAACCATAAAAAAATTAACTTGACAGTCTGTGATAATTATGTATCAAAAGACCTTTAATTTAAAACAATTAATATTGTAGTGTCCATTTAAAAAAAAAATTGTACCTAATAAATTCTGAAATTATTTAATGTTTTCAAAAATACTTCTCTTATTTAAGTCTATTAAAGAGTGAAAAAAATTTTCGATAAAATTTCAATTTCCAATACATATTTAGTTTATTTTTTAAAATGGAGTTATAATTAGGGATAAAACGAATAGTGATTTGGGTGAATAGCCGAATACCTTTTTTTTTAAAAAATTGGCTGAATACCGAACATTGGGCAATCAAAAAGCAAAATTTTTTTTTTAAATTATTAATAAAGATTATTTTTTATACAGAAATTAAAAATAGTAAAGTTGAAAAAAAAAAAAAAAGAAATATCCTCTTAATTCTTAATATAAGGCTTTAATGCCAAAATAATATTTTACGAAAAAAAGATTATTAAAAAAACATTAATTAAGAAAACATTAATGAAAACATAAAGTCTATCAAGAACGCTTTTAAAAATGCAGTAGTTTCATAAAAATACCTATAAAAAATAAAGATTGTAGACAAAACAGAAAAATAAAAATTTATCTTAATTTTTGAAAGAAAATTTTAAAGCTTAACATTTCAGTTTTCCAATTACCATATTTTCAAGAAAAATTAAAGTCTAATGGAAACCCTTTTAATTGCAGCGTCAAAACATCTGTAAAAACATAAGTTTTCTTAAGAAAAAAAAAGGAGGTGGACAGAAATCAAAACAAAAATCAATCTTATTTTTTAAACGAAAAATTTAATGCTGAAAATCTTGATTTAACTTTGTCACATTGCCGTATTTTTTTTAAAAAAGTGACCATAAAAGAATAACATTCATTGGAAACGTACTTTAAAAAATGCTAAAAGAAAAGTTAATAAAAAAACCCAAAGAGAGACATGTAATGACTTCTATGTTACTAGCGATCTGTCTTACCTTACAAGAATAAAATGACAATGAAAGAATAAAGTTCAGTTGAAACGCTCCGTTAACATGCTTTGCTTGAGTTACAACAGAACTATAAAAAAACAGGGGGGGGGAGAGCTCTCAATTTTTAAAAACATAAAGTGTTGAAAAAACGATTAAATTAACTTGCCCAAACCTAATTAATAAAAGAAAAGAAATCAGCATTACCAAATTCATGGTTCACTATAAGCTAATCTAGTCTCAATTCCACAAATTTTGCTGTTCCATGTGTCTTTCAGAGCATTAGCTAAAAAGTTTTACATCTTAACATATATGTATAAAAAGTATTTCTAAAAATGCAAAGTAAAAAAATACGATTTTAGATTATTCTTTATTATATCCATAAGAATTTCCGTTAAAATTTTTTCCAAATAATACTTTGCTGAATATTCAACCAAATATTCAGTCTACCGAATAATCGTAACATCCCTAGTTATAATAACTAAAAGTGTCTTTATATGCCAACATTTCAACTCTTCTTTTAACAATAAGTTACACAATACAAGAATTAATTATAAATTGTAGGTCAACAAAATTAAAGTCATGTATATAAAACAGTGTCTGCACAATCTACCAACTGAACTGCTAATTTAGCAATATAGCACACAATACATAAATTAATACAAATTGTAATGCAACAAAATTGGAGGTTTAATACACAAAATGGTTTTATGTACCACATATCAGAGCTGGCAAGGTTTAGGTCAGAATGGATTAATCCTTGGTTTAAACCGCCCCGTCCAAAACCTATTCACTCAAATTATGTCACAATTTTTAAAAAAATAATGTGAAAAATAAATATTAATTTTTGAACAAGAAACAAAATAAAGACAAGTTTCTGTTTTATTAAAAAAGTTTATTATTATTTTTAATATTGCATTATTTATTCTTATGCAAAAACATAATTTACCAGTATTAAAAGCATATTTATTCATATTTAAGGTATTCACTTTTGTTGTTTAATGAATTGTGGAGCTTCAAATGTTATAAATCTTTTCCTACATTATTACTTTCCTTTAATAAGTTAAAGCAAATTGTATAAAAAGTATCAAATATTTATTACTATATGTAATTATTATGTGTACAATGGTTACACATAGGTATTGAATTTTTACCTTTTACCAATGTTAGGATTTGGACGCTTTAAGACAGTTTGAGTCAGTTTAAGACAGTAAAACCCAAATGCCCTGTCCAAACCAGTTTAGGATGTCCATAACCCCAACCCTGCCACATATAAATAACAAATACAGCAATATTTCATACTTCAAAGCTGTAACACTTACTTTAACACAATTTTATTAATAACTATTCAAACAAAAATCATAACTCACATGTAAGTTTCATTTTTTTAGATTCACTTAATCCATCTGATGACTCTTCATCACTAGTAATTATTCTGAAAAAAAAATTTTGTTTTTAAAACTAATAATTAAAGGGGGAATAAATGACAGGTGACAATTAAAAAGTTCACATACTGTAAGGCAAATGGATCATCATCATCATCCACATACTCTTTAGGTTCTTCCTTTATATCATCTGCATTTTTCACGGGTTTAACTTTGATACTTAAAAAATAAATCAGAAATTCATAGGTTATTTGTGCGAATAAATTATGTCAATAAATATCGCAATAGATATAAAAAATGTAGCAAAATCATTACTAATACTTGTTGAAATGTTTATTATCATTACTAATATGTTGCAATATTTACCTATTCTTACCACTTTACTATCATCATTACAGTGCCCGCCGCTAATAAAATCACCGGATAATAAAATCAGCCGCTTTATAAAATCAAATCGGCAAGAACCGAATCGTTACAATATTAATACATGTTAAAAACATCCTTTAAAATCAATGCCGCCGCTTTTTAAAATCAAAATTTTGATTACATAATAAATCAAAGGTGCAATATTTCAGCTTTTTTTGTTCCTATTTATAAAATTTTATTTTTCGAAGTTGAAAGATTTTTTTAGAAGAAGCAACAGTTACTCACAAACCTGTGAAACAGGTGTGGTTAGCACTTTCCTGCGATATACATAGTGTAAGAGTTAAGGAAAAATGTGGGTGGTAAGCGGCGAGTTCATAGAAATCAATGTTAATTCCTTGACTTGAATGAAGTTTGGAGAAACCTATCTCACTCAACAGGGGGTCGAATTCTTATCTTACTTTTTATTGAATGAACCATAGAAGGGAGAGAAGTTTCTTTTGTTATCTATCTTAACAGAGAACATGAATAGATTTCCAAAAACTGTCTGTGTGCATATTATTTCAGCCGTTTGAGTAAATTATAGTTAGAGCGCATATCATTTTTAAGTTCGTTTGGTGTTAAATTTTATCAGCATGCCGAAAAGGATGGATTTGAGTCTTAAAGATAAATTCGAAGTGTTGCAAAACTATGATAAGCTTCCTAAATGTAGTCAACGTGAAGCTTCAATGGAGATGGGGCTCATAACTGTTTCGAAGAAATGATCAGCAATGAAGAAAATGAAATGTACGAGAATTTTTCACGTTACGTAACTTTTGAAGATAACCTGCAAACATCAGGAGAAAAATCTGATTCTGAAATTGTTACAGACATCAAAAATTGCAAAGTTATTTCCAATCAAGAAATGGAGGAATCAGACTCAGAAGATGAAATAAACTCATCAGTGCCATCTTCAATGGAAGTCAGAAAAGCACTTAATGTATTGCGGAAAGCTTTAGAACAAAAAAGGAGGAATATCGAAAACTATAAAAACTTCTATAAACTCTCAAATGATGTTGAAAAGTTAATTTTAAATACTGCAACTCAAGCAACCATTGATTGGTTGTGTGCAAACCTTTTGTAAATTTAATCTTTTGTAGGGTTTTACTTTATTAAAATAATTAAATTTGTTAAAATAAATCATTAATGTGGTCATTATTTCAGCTTTTAAAGTGTGTGCATTTAGAATGTATCGTAAAAAAGTTTTCTTTTTTCAAATGTTAAATCGCCTCTTAATAAAATCAGCCGCTTAATAAAACCAAAAGAGCATAAAACGAAAGTGATTTTAATAAACGGCGGGCACTGTACTAATATCTGTGTAACATCATCACATACTAAATTATAAAAATTTAAATAAAAAAGAGAATATATAGTAAAAGACTGTTATAATAAGAAAGTTAATAACAGGAAATGTTCCCATAATGCAATTTTAAGTGCTATAAGGATAATTTTTAGTGCTGAAATGCAATAAAAGATGAAAATATAAAATTAATGAGTTTCACTTCATTTTGAAATGTTTTGAATCAAGTGAAATATTTAAAATTCATTGTCTTTACCTCAAATTCTTGATTGGATAATATAGCTCTGTAATTTGAGTATAACAGTGCTTGAAGAACTGTATGAACTGTTTCATGCTTGCATTAGAATGAATCCATGTATTTCATTACTGTTTGAAAGTAAAATTTTTCTTCATTTAAAATAAATATTGCAATTATTTTAACTGCTTGATAATGTTTCTACCGTGATACGGAACTTACTGACACAAATCTGACACGGGCATAAGTAAAAAGTACTGCTAACTGTAAAAGATTTTTTATTTCAACAACAATAGCAAGTAAATTTAAGTTTACAATTCTATGAAAAGAAAAAAAAAACTATTGATTTATTTTACCTGTAATATAATTTAAATGATATAAAAATAACTGAAAGCAAGACTTTGAGTAATTTTCTTTTCACTTTAAATTGTATGTGTAATTTTTTAGGAATGGAGCAAATAGTCATTTGGCTGAACATTTGATTAAAAAAAAACAATGGAATAGCAATTTTTTTTAAAATAATTAATAAATATTATTTTTATATATAAATAAGTGTCGTCAATATTGAAAAATAATCAAAACTTAGTTGTATTATTGGTATGGGGTTAAGGGAAAAAAACTATAATAGATAATAAAAAATAAAAAAAAATTAAAACAATAAAGATAACAAGAGAATAATACGATGTTAAGATAAATAGAAATATTTAAGATAAATAAAACACTGAATAACAGCTATTAAAAAAACTTAAGTAGAAAAAAGAGAAATAGAAAAATATAACCTTTTAATTCTTAAAAGAAAACCTTATTGCTAAAAATAATATTTTCAGAAAAAAAAGTATCCATAAAAGATATAATCGATCAGAAAAGCTTTAAAAAGTTGTACTATCCTATCATAAGTTGCACTATTATAAAAAGGCTCATAAAGAAAAATTAAATACAAAAGCAAAACAGAAAAAATAAAAAAGCAATTTAAAAAAACTTTTTAAACTAAATGATTAACTTTTCCAATTATCGTATTTTCAAGAAAAGTAAAGAAAAGAAAAACTCTAATAGAATTTTGTAATAGAAACTCTTTTAATTGCAACGTCATAATAAGAACGCTTGATAAAAAAAATGTCTTAAAACAGAAAAAAATTAGATTAAAAAGATAATAAAAAAGCAAAAGAGAAACAGAAACTTTTTCTCAGTTCTGAAATAAAACTTTAATGTTAAGAATCATAGTTTTCTGCACTACCGAAAATCTGTCTTACTATACAGGGGGAAAAAATGACAATGAAAGAAAGAAATCTATAAGATATGTTTCGTTAAAATGCTGAGCTATAATAAACAGAATAAAAAAGTTTTCAATTCTTAAAATAAAAAGCTTGAATAAATGACAAAATTAACTTGCCTAAATATAATTTTAAAAAAATAATAATAATTAATAGTACAAAACTCATGTTTCAGTATAAAGTAATCTAATTTCAAATTTTGCTCTTCCACTTTTCTTTCAGAACATAAATTAACATGTTTCAGAACTTATCAAACATGTGTAAAAACTCTTTCGAATAATGTATAATAAAAAATACGATTTTAGATTAATCATTATTAAATCAATTCAAATTTCCAGCATCAACAACAAAAAACTTTGTCGAAAAATACTCTTACGAAAAGTATTTTACCAAATACTTGACTGAACAGTCGGCCAACCGAATATTCTGTAAAAGTATTGAATACCGAATAGTGGCCCAATTTTTTTCAGTTAATAAGTTTCAACCAGTTTGATAAACAATGCTAGGCAATAATGCGTAATGACTTCATAGTTTCTCATGCACCCTGCATATAAATTTTTTAAATGTTTTCTTAAGTGTTGCATAACATTTAAAATATTTCTGCAACTGCATTTTACAAATTATAATTTTTTAGAATATTTCACTATTAATGAGAGTGAAATTACTTACAAATGAACAGGTTTTTCCGCAGGTTCTTCAGATTCTTTACTTTTAGGTAGAGTAACTTTTTTACGCGGTTTTGGAGGTGGATTATCCACAGGTAAATTTAAAGATGGTACACTGTCTTTTTTCAAACAGGGCCTCCAAGTAGAAACTTCTAAAACATTTAAATATAAAGAACATTAAATATATTATTAATTATAAATATATTAAATGTTAGTAATATCATAATATAAATATATTAAATGTTATTAATATTATAATATATTTCCCTGCGGCAGAATATTCTGTGGGTTTTCAGCTACCTACCTCTCTAGTACTAATATCTTCCTGCAAGATACTTTTAAAAATAAAAAATATACATGTTACTAATTTAAAGTAACAGAAGCGTCAACATTAAAAAAAAAGAAGAAGAAAAGTGATCAGATTACGGATTTTAAAAAAAATGATTCTAATTTGGCATGTAATATTCTTTAAATTCTAATATTATGACCAATATTGTAGTATTTTGTAGGGGAAAAACACAATAATTGTTTCCTGGTTTGCATTTTGTATATCATCACATTAAGAAAACAATTCGTGAGATCCGTGTAACTAACGGAAAAATGAAGATCGACGGCGAAATCATGCAAATCAGACTCTTCAAAAAGGGGTTACTAAATACATGTTTTCATATCGAGATTCAGTTGTTGCAATAAATTAAAAATGTAGGATTTTTAAAACTATGTGGAAATCAATATTAATAATTGCATAAAAAATAAATAGAAAATGTTTGCAGAAAAGAAAACCAAATTGTTTTGCTTCCCAAAGGAAAAATCCTTCTACAGGAACTCAGTGATCTGTGGCAGAATAATCACCTAGTCTTGGAAACTTCCGGGCAGTGGCCCGCGAGAAACTAAAAAAAACATCACAGAAAGGGACCAACTCAAATGGTATAACTCATAGCCATCCCCGGGCAAACATCTACATGTTTTTTTTAAAAAAATTTGCAACTTTAAAACCATGGCGATTGTACACCTTGGCGATTGTACACCTTGGCGATTGTAGTTGGTGTGACAGATCACGATACGGAAATATCCCCCATAATGATTCTTGTAGGAGTATATTTTCAATCATATCAAATTATTTATTTCTTAAGTATTATGAAATAAAAGAGAAAAAAATAAAATAGCCATAAAGAAACAAACACTTATAAATGTACCATAAAATGACATATTAAAAACAAAACACCTATTTTTTTTATTCGTAAAAGGTTTGATAATTATTCTTCATTTGAAGTTTATAAGTTAGATTTATTTACAGATCGTTAGTCTTAAAGCTAGAATCGGCAATAGATACAGCCCCTAACTTGAACAAGATTACACACTCAAGGTAACCATATTGAAGAGTATAGAGTCTGAAGTGGGGTAGAGGTAAGAAATAAAAGAAAATACTTTCTTTCAAAATTGGGGTAAGAAGGGCAAATGCCTTGAAGGATGTGAGCTTGTAAAAGAAAAAGAAAAAAGTGTGATTTATAGCTGTATCAGTCACTTTGATTTAATAATACTCTGAATGATAAAGAAAATTTCAATTCTTAACAAACAGTCATTTTGAAATATAATTTTGGACATTAATAGATATTTTAATTACTTTTTACGTTTTCTTCAAAAGACTTAAAAATATTATAAAAACCTTAAGCCTTACAAAAAGCTTTAACTTAATGTATAATAAAAAAAACTATTACAATTCTGAAAGTAGCACTTCAATATTGATAATGATCAGGAAGTTTTGAGGACATTTGGAACTGGCAAGCAAGAAACTAAAAACACTTAACAGAGAAGGTAAACTTGAAAGGTAAAGTTCAGAACTACCTCAAATTAAATTACTTTTCAATATTCAAGTTAACAATTAGATACAATATTTTTACATTATAATAGAGAGCATGGAGTCTTCCCATTTCTAGCATTCTGCTACTACAATAAAAAAAAAATTCATTATTCAAATATTTTTTATTAATAATTATAGTATGCAATTTTTTTATTCAAATTAGGGAAATACTTAATCAAAATAAAAGAAAAAAGGGTAAATATTTCTGTTTCATTTTTTTAGAATTACTCTTTTAACCTTAATATCAAACATGTGTAGTTGCTTATAAGGACAAGCTCGGGGAGATTTTTCCGAATCATGATCTCCAGCAAAATAATCGCCAAGTCTTAGAGACTTCCAGGCAGTAGCCTGGATGAAACTAAAAAAAAAAAACACAGAAAGGGACCAACTCGAAAGGTATAATTTGTAGGCAAGCATCTATGTTTTTTTCTTTTTTTAAATTTGGCAGTTTAAAATCTATTTGGGCCCCTTGGCGATTGTAGCAGGTGTGACAGATACGGAAATATCCCCACATATATTTTAAAGAAAGTCTTAAATTTACTACTTTTTTCAAGGATCTAACAATTAAAATGTAGAACCACACCTGGGTACATATAATCAGTAGTGCGAAAATGTCTGGAACACACTCTCATACCAGTGGTTACTGGTTTTCCTATTCTTAGAGCTAAAATCCATTTTTTACGTCGCAGAGGGTCTGATGTTTCCGATGGGAAACAGTGAAAGCTTACATCAGCATTTTTAAAACCATAGGTTTTGCACTGAGGCACACAGCAATAGGTTTTATCAAGTTTATCGATATTTTTTCTTTTCACAATTCGCTTGGTCACAACCACGGGGTCTTTCATTTTCTGAATGATATCTCGCATTACTTTCCTTTTTAATGACATTGTAAATTGTTGAAGAGGAGATAATAAGAGAAATATTGAAAATAGATTCTAAACGAAAAATCACATCGATTTGAGGATTCAAAATTATAATTTTAAGCAAGAATCATTTTGATTTATATTGAGTTACAACTTTACAGAAAGTGAAAAATCAAACTTCTGGATTCAATCAATCCAGAGTAGGAAACGAGCTTGATTATAAATTTCCGAGTAAAAATGCGGGAACCTGCAAGTTGTTAGTAAATTAAGAACTTGTTAATAGGTTTTGAGTAACTGTAAAATCAGCTCAAAGCTTACATAGTTAAAATAAAATTTAAATCCGCAAGAGGGCGTTCTTTATAAACTTATATATCGATATTCGCGATCGCAACGCTCGAGTACGCCATCTAGCGGGAGACTGAAAATATCGGACATTAGGGTGGAATTCAACTGCAACATCGACTGTCTTAAGACGGGTGAAATCGTAACTTTCGCAATGCATGATGGGAAATCTCGTAAGTTTCAATTCAACTGAAACACTTACGCTGAAAATGACAAATCGGTCATAAGACGGGTGGTTCGACTGACTTAAGACGCCCTAATCCAATATGGCGTTTGTGTTGTTTTGTTATGATGATCCGTTGGTGATTATTGGCGATCGAAATGGGCTGCAGGTGGCGTAGAGCAGAACTCTTTTCCTATGGCAACACTCCACATGCTTTCCCCATTAGCGTGTGGAAAGTCATAGAGGAAGGAAGTACGTTAGTTTCTCTCTTGATTTTCATATAGATTAAAATCTTTTAACTTGAAAAACTATATGGAACTGAAAACTACATTAAACATAGTTCTAAAGAAAAGTATCATGGAAATTTTAAAAAATATTTTTATTAAATAAAAAGGAAAAATATTAAGAAAGGGGAAAATATCGTAGTACATTCCTATACAACTGAAAAGAGGAGGAGAGGGAAGGGAGAAGGGCTATAGGCATGAAACCGGTCTCTCCCCAGATGGCGTATTCGAGTGTTGCGATCGCCATGAAACAAAACTTTCTTGTTAATTCTTAAATATTATTGATTTAATCCTTCTCATTTATCAGTCTGCACTTGTTATTAGTAATAATATCTACAAAATTTGTTTTAAAAAGATAAAGAAATACGAACCTAACACCTTATTTTTACTCTTATTCCTGTAAACAAAAAAGTATGTTTAATTTTATTTTTCCTGAACTGAAGTAAAACGTAAGAGTTCTATTGTTTAATGTATGCATATTAAAGACTTTTGTATGTAAATTTTATTTGACTATTTTTTATATCTTCATCAAAGTTGTTTGCTGTATGTTTTGAACTAAAGCTATTATCGAATATAAATTTTTCTTAAAAGTGCACGTTTCATACGTAAGTAATTTATTTGGTTACAAAGCGAGTAATCTTACGAAATTGAGTTAAAATTGTATCGATACACATTTTGTTATCATTATTATTGTACAGTTATAAATTATGCTTATTTTTTATTGATATGCTTATGGATAATCAATTTGAGTTCTTAGGTTTATAAAATTTTAAATCCCTTAATGATTCTTGGTTTATAATAATTATTATTCATTTTAATTGTTAATAACTTTTAACTCTTTATCTTTTTAGATTTAACTGTTGCTAGCATTTAATACTTCAAAATGCACTAAATTTTTACATTTTAAACTAAGAATAACTTTTTTCATTGTTTTTTTTAAACTATTTATTTTTGTAGAAAAATTGGTTTTGTATAAAGATATATTTATTGAAATCCTATCATAAAACATGTTTAACAATTTTAGAAATACAATTACTGATTTTTTAAACTTATATGTTCATTAAAAATAAGGGATTATTTCTGTATCATGATTTGTCATGCCAACTACAATTGCTAAAGTCCCAAATAGCTTTTAAACTTGCAAATTTTTGTAAGAAAAAAAACGTGTAGATGTTTGTCCAGGGGTGGCTACGAGTTATACTTTTTATGATGTTTTTGTTTCTCGTGGGCCGCTGCCCAGAAATTGCCGAGACTTGGCAATAAATTACGATCCGAAAATCTCCCAAAAAATATTGGCTGTGTGAACTTATTTTACAGACATAACTGCTGTTTATGGATATAAACTTTACAGAAATTAGGAAGTGAAATGCTTACAAGCTTGGTAATTAATGCTTTTGTGATGGTGTAATAAAAAATTGCCATACACTCTAGCAGAAATTTGTTGGCTTGTTTTAAAACATCCAGGAGTGATTGAAGATCAGGATACAATTATTGCCTGTTTCTGAAGTTGAATAGACCGTCTATTATTGTTAGGTAAGAGTGCTTATAATTAATTCAAATAATTATTTAAATTTTGTAATTAAATCCCAATTAATAAAAACTAATTTCAGATTTGCAATTAGTTTTTATTAGTTAGGATTTATAGGTCTCTTTATTGGGTTATATTAAATGAATAGTATTTGGTTGATGACTTGTTTTATATGTGTATCAAAAATTTTAAAAATACTGTGATCAAATTTTAAATTGCCTTATCACTTATAGTATGCAAAATATAGATATTGTATTCTCAGTTACGAAGAGCATACTAATTTCCATAAATAAGTGCTGTTATGTATGAGTACTTGAAACAAATCTTGGATAATATACCAAAGGCGTTTCTCAACAGATATTTTTTTATACAGATTTCATTATTTATGTTACCAATTGGTAAAATTATAAAATAAAAATAATCTTAATGATTTTTTAATGGTGAATTTTAACTCTAATGCTGAACTCTTAATGTTGAATAATAACATAAAATTTTTAAAAACGAAATACAACGTTAATATTCTAAGCTCAAAATCATGGGAAAATTTAATGAGCACTTTCAGGCGCATTTACTGTTTCATGGTATTTAATTTAAAAGATGAGACTTGAAAATTTTTAACAGAGATATTTCCATATTTTGATAGCTATTCCTCTTTGATTTTACTTGAATAAATTTGGGTTAAGAAATTATCTCTTGTAATTCTGTTGCTAAATGTTTTGTTCTTTCTTTTAAAAAATGACAAGTGGTGAAAACCCTAATTAATATTTAAAATTACTATTAGTATTAATATTTGTAATGAAAATTTCACTAATTGAGAAAAAATGTAAAGTTATATTACGTAAATAAGATTCAGAAGTAGTCTGTCTTTTACTGTTAGGTACATGTTAATAGTAAATTGAAATTTATAATTTTTTAAATTTTTCAGTTCTTGCAGACTAGCATAAAGTAGTTATCAAATATGGTTTTTAAGTCAGTTTGTTTAGATACATAAAATAACTTGTATATAGCACTTAGGCTATCGAAATACATTTTTCTCACAAAAAAGATCAATAATATTTAACCGATTTTAAAATCTATTGAGTACTGACCTACTGATTCAAAGTCTATCATAATATGATTAAATCTAAGTTTGACTAACTTCAAAATATCTGTTAAATGCAGTTTTATTCTAAACCAAAAATCAAGTTTAGAAAATAACATAAATTAAGTCAGAGTTAATTAGTTAGAAATTTTACTTTTCTGAATAATGATTAGTAGTATTGAATTATAGTCTTTTTCAATTTTATATCAATATAGT